CTTTGGAGCCAGCCAACTATAGACTGAAACTTTTCAAAACCATGAGTCCTGTCTCAGTTACTTTTCTTTCATTGCTGGGATAAATCCCTAACACCCAGAAATAAGGAAGGAAAGTTTTATTTAGCTCACAGTTTGTGGAGGTTTCAGTCCATACAAAAGCTGGCTCCAAGGCAGACTGGCACATGGCAGAGGGCAGCAGTTCATGGTGGCAGAAAGCAGCAAAGAGCAAATGGAAGGAGTAGCAGCCACAGAAAGCAAGTCTGTCTCCCTTCTGCTGCATTCAGGCTGTCTGTGCCAGGCTGGGTGTAGCACTCACACCCAAAATCCCAGCAGCATTCACACCCATAATCCCAGTGGATCATGAGTCAATCACAAACTCTAGTAGTCTGCCCCAAGACTGCATGAGGCTTTGGGGGACAACTAGACACAAACCATTACAAGCCCAAATAAGCCTGTCTTCCACTAGTGCATGAGTGTCAGATATTTTGTCTCAGTGATGAGAAAGTGACTAAAACATCAATTATGCCCAAAACATTTGATTCAACCACAGCCTCCAGGCATGTGCTTGCTCTAAGCAGAAAGGCCTGGGGTCCCAAAGAGTTTCTGGACACGAGCAGAAATGCCAAATTATGGCCCTCTCATCTGCCTTCCCCTCCCTTTCCTTGGAGGAAAAAACCTTACAGTTCAAAAGAATTCCTTAATCCCCCACCAAAACAGGTTGTGCCCAGGTCTTGTCAGACCCAAAAGAACAAAGCAGGGCCCTGCCCCTCCCCTGCATTCCTTCCGAGCTCCAGAGGCCCTTTCCCAATATTGGTGGATGGAGGTCACGGCCCTGGGAGGGGCCAGGTTGACACACAGCACACACTGGTTCCAGCAGCCTTTGATCATTGGGTGCTTTCTTCTCACCCTGCAGCCCCACGGCTGGTCTCATCCTGCTTATGGGAAGCAGTATTGTTATCCTCTACTATTTGGTCTGTAGAGCTTGATTGGCCTTTGTTATTTTGAATGAACAGATGAAGCTCAAATTAGCCTCTAAGCAAAATTAGCCTACTTGTTGATTCATGCTAGGAGTCAGGGCTCTGTATACAATGGGCAAATGATCAGGTTTGAGCATCCTGTTGGGAGAGTGGGGGTGGGCTCCCCCACTCCCACAAACTGGCTCTATTTTAAATGTGAGTATTTCAGGCATTCCTGAAATGAAATAATAAAAAAAATTTAAAGGGCCGGCCTGATAGCTCAGCGGACTAAAATGCCTGCTTACACAGAGCTCAGCGGCCAGCAGGGGTTTGCCCAGCCGGGGTTTGATCCCAGCGTGCCACGCCAGCCCGCCCCTGCGACGTGCTGAGACAGCGATTGAGACTGGGTGTGGTGGCGCGCACCTGCAATCCCAGCCCTCGGGAGACTGAAGACAGGAGAATCACTATGAGTCTGATCTATGCAGCGAGACCCTACAGACCCTGTCCTAAATACAGAAAAAGGAAAAAAAAAAAAAAAAAAGTGTAGTGTCATATAAACTTGGAAATCAGCTGCATGGGTTTAAATTTCACGGTGAGATGGTTATATGATTTTTAAAGGGTTGCTTTTTTTCAGTGCTGCAGATGGTACCCAGGGAGGGCCTCGTGGCTGCTACACAAGCGTTCTGCCCGCGAGCCGTTCCACAGTCCCTAAGAGCTGTGTCTTTCCAATGACATTTATGTAGTTCTGGTAGGTAAATAAATACTCAGCATTCGTAGCACAGGAAACGGTGGCTGTGGCAGCATCGAGTGGATCGTGACATAACGGGATGGTATCACCCTAATCAAGAACTGAGTTGCACAACATCAGCTGATAGGGAACCGAAAGCCTTTTAAGTCACTGTACACCTGCAGGCAGAAAAACCCACTCTGAATCCTTTTGGATTCAGCAATCTGTTTGCTCAGAAATCTTCCCGCTGGGTACTCCGGGGCTTCGCTGAAATGCTGTACTGCCTCACTCGCTTGAAGAAAAATCTAACCTTAAAATCCTTTATGAAATTCATTCCTCCTCTGTAGCACAATGAAGAGAATTTGCCACAATGGGAGAGTGGAACAGTAAAAACTACATAAAAGTGATTGTAGTAAAACCTAAACCAGTAGCAAGCCGAATTACAGACGCTGAAGTGCAGTAGGATGGAATCTTCCAGAGTCAAGAGTTTCAGCTAACACCACCCGTAAATATATTCTAAGCAATCACCCTAATGGGCTGTCTGGGCAACCCGATCACCTACGCCCAGGTGCAGTGACAAACAATAACATGATTTCTAAAGAGCAAAGCAAAGCAATCCCTCCAACTCTAGATTTCCATTGTCCTCAAATTTTCAAAGATCTGAGCTCTCGCCATACTGGATTATGAATATATTTCCAGCGAGAGAGCTGGAGATAAGAGAGAGAAGCAGTATACTGTCTTTGCTATCAAAACATGATTAAATTCATTCCTTTGACATTCTGACAGTAATTGCACTGAGAGGGATTGGATTTTGTTAAAATTACTTTAAAAGGGTTGTTGAGAATTTCCTGCAGCCGAGATCGGCGTGCAGTGCACAGCTCTCGCTTGCTTTCCCTTTGTTGTCCTCATGATCCTGAGGGGCTCTGCACTCATCTCATTTCTGACAGCGTGAAGCCCTTGGAAAAACACCCACAGAAAGCTTTGCCTCTTGCAGTCCCTTGGTTCTATTTTCTGCTGTGACCCTCAGAGTCAGTAATCCAAGCTGATTCATTCATGAGGTTTCTGCCTCCATCATCTTAATAAACAAAGACAGAGCCAGGCACCCTTACAACCATCATTTTCCTAATAACGGCAGAGACATGACACTCCAGGTGACACCAGGGTATTGTTTGGAAGAGCCAAAAACAGTGCTATGCACTTCAAGTTTCTCAATGTTCCAATCCTTGATGATGTAAACCCAAAGAGATCTCACAAATCACGACTGCATGATCACATGTGAATATATTTCCATATATATATATGGAAATATATATTTCACACTAAGAGGTGTTTGCGAAGATGGTCCCTCCCCTTGGTGGACAAGCAGCCCTCATGGTGCCAGGGCAGGGCTGGCTCCTGGAAAGCCCTGAGCAGAGGGACTTCCTCATGGCCCTTGGGCTCAGCACTGACAAAGCAGAGTATCCCTAATGCCAGTCTCCTTAGGGAAGTCACAGCCCTTGCCACCTGCGAAGGATGAGAGCTCTGATGGCCTCAAACTGCTTTCTTCACTGATCAGAAAATGAATGGCTTTCAGACAGATAAAAGGTACCATCAGGTGTTAAATTTTGAAAGAAATGTGTGCTTCTTTACGGGATTAAACCGGGAGTTCTTGTATGACTCGGTGATTCCACTCCCAGGAAAGCAAAAGAAATGCAAACATCTTACATGAAAACTTGTCTACACGTGCTCACCACAGCAGCCCCGAAGTGGAAACAACCCCAAATCCATCGAATGCTAGAGATCAGTAAAGCGGGATGTATCCATGCAATGCAACGCTATTTGCCTATAAAAAGGAAGGATGTACTAATACATGTCTGAACAACATTTTGCTAAGCAGAAAATATCACTTACAAAAGACATTCTACATACTGAATGATTCCATTTATATGAATATCCAGAGTAGGCAAATCCAGACACGCAGAGCACAGATTAGTAGTTGCCAGGAGTTAACAAAAGGGAAAACAGAAAGCAACTACTAATGGCACATGGTTTCTTTCTTTCTCTGTGTGGTTTTTGTTTTTTGTTTTGTTTTGGTTTGGTTTGTTTTTGGTTTTTTGGTTTTTTTGCAGTTACAGGGATCGAACTCAGATCATCGCTTTTGCCAGGCAGGTACTTTTACCGCCAAGCTATCTATCTCCCTGGCCCCAAGCTTGCTTTTAGAATAGAAATATTCTAAAATTAGATTGCGCTGGGGAGATAGCTCAGTGGCATAAGTGCCTGCCTGGCAAGTCCAAGGTCCCAAGTTCGATCCCTGGTACCAAAAAAAAAAAAAAAACTGTGATGATAGCTACTGGATTATACATTTTCATGTAGTGAGTTTTAAGAGTATATATAAATCAGATCTCAATTTTAAATGTTTAAATATACGTGCATATATAAGGATGCATACATATATATCTTATGCCTTGACTATATTTCTCAAAATGAGAATTAATTAAGCATGATTATTGATTTTTCCCAATAACTGAGAAATTAGTGATTAAGCATTTCACGAAGGAAGAGCTACACATTTGTTAGTAAAACCAATAATGTGGGGGAAAGCAAAGAGGAAACTTTTCAGACTTATCTGATTATCATACTCAAGTAGGCAACCAGCACCAGCAGCAACACTGAAGAACAGCGTTTTTGTCTGGTTTCTCTGTCGAGCCTTTTTCTAGGAGGGAACAAGCTAGTGTTGGTTTCCTGGGAACCGTCCTAGACTTCAAGGGCAAGTCCCCACCACGAATGATGATTCGATTCAACTGAATAACACCACTATTGAGCAGCTACATTTGAAGGCAAATACAAGGACAGCGGTATCCCTAGTATCAGCTGGATAGTCACCTTGGGCTGTTTCACCCCAGATTCTTTTTTCAGACACCTGAGCCACCGGTCTCCCAACTTTGTAAGTAATAAGAATAGCACCTGTCACTTAGCTGGTACTTACTGAGCGCCAAGCGCTGTTTGAGATCTTTCTATCAACTCATGGACCATGACATGGACAGAGAGAGCAGTAGCATTATTCTTATTTAACAGATGAAGAGGCTAAAGTTCAGAGAAGTGAAGTAAGTTGCCCAAGGTCAAAGAACCATCAAAGGGGAGAGCCAGGACACAAGCCCAGGCACCCTGGTTCTGCCCTACTCTTTTCTTTGAATACCACATTGATGCTAACCTAATTTACAAAACACTTCTGTGGAATAAACTCTGTATAGAACTCGTAAAATAGGACACATTACTCAGCCTTACTTGGAGCACCCATTTATCAAAGACATGGCAATGATGAACATGACCACCCTTACCTATGGACCACGCCAACCCGGTGCAGATGCTCCACTGCCGAGATGAGCTGCCGGATATATCTGCGGGCTTCAGACTCCTCCAGCCGCTTCTTCTCATAGATCTTGTGCATTAAGTTACCCCCAGGGCACAGCTCCATGACCAGGTAGTAGCTGTTTTCTGTCTCTAAGATATCAAGGAGCTGTGTGATGTTGGGGTGGCGGATCATCTGCTGGATCTGCCCCTCCCGCCGCAGGTTTTTGGTGACATAGGTGTCCTTTTTGGCTCTCTTCTTATCAATAACTTTGATGGCCACCTAAGAAGTCAAGAGCATAAGTGTTATCAGACATCATGCAAAGGATATTCCTCAACTACTCTTAAGAACTCCAGGAAAATACATCATCATCAGGAATAGAGATGTAGCTGGGTGGCAGACCATGCGCTTAGCATGCAAGAGGCCCTGGCATCCATCCCCAGCACCATGAGGAAATTATTAATTAATTAAAATGGCATCAAAGGAAAAAGTAGAATATCAGGAAAATAAAAGTTTTATTTGTTAAGGAAGACAATGGAATTCACTTAAAGAAACTTCAAAGTTCTAGCACTATGGTTCTGAAATGCTCAGCCAAGGGCTAATGTCAAAAGGTTCCTTCCGGGAAGAAGACAGAAGGGAAGAAGTCCCAACCTCTGAAGGAAGGGACTCTCGCCACTGTCTTTCAGAACTCTGTCACCTGCTCCAGGCCTGGTGCCCAACACTCCCACTTCAGAAACAGCTGAACCTGTCCCGTCTTCATCTAGGATGTGGTCAGAAGCCAGGAGAAGCACTGCCCAAGGACCCAGTTTCTTTGGCCTCCCCTGATATGTGACCAGCCATTGAGTGGCACCAGTGCCACAGGCAACTGTCCCTGCCCCCTTTCCTCTACCCACCCAGTGCCTTTTCAGCAAGCCACTGGCCAGAGGACAAAGGCAGCAGACTGTCCATTTCTAGTAATTGCCTTTTCAGTGATTCTAGTTTGTACCTGTCTCACAATGCACTCAATATACTACTACAGCATAACAGATATGTACATAAATGATGGATACGTTTGCAGAGAGAGACTCAAATGTGATATGTGGACACAGTTCATGACAAAGTGAATAAACAGAAACCTTATGTCTAATGTACTGCATGGTGCTACAGTTGGCAATAAAGTATTACACACTTGAAAATTGCTTAGAGAGTAGGTCTTACATGTTCTTAACACACACACACACACACACACAAATGATACTCTGAGGTGATAGACATATCAACAAGCTTGAGAGTGGCAACCACTTCACAATGTAAACACAGATCAAAACACCACGCTGGACGCAGGAATGACACTCTGCTTCACCGTCACTTCAGCCTCAAAAAACAAAAATGAGAAAAGTAGACACCACCGGCACTACCAGCCAGCCCAGACTGGGCACTGACACTTGACTCTTCTCCAAAACTGTCACCTGGATTCCTGAATTCACTCCATTCCCTGCCTCAAAAATCAGTGGGCCCAGCAGCCTGATTTCTTGCCAAAGCTTTTTGGGCTCACTGCACAAAAGCTTTTTGGGCCTGAGTACCTAACCATCTTCAGCCATACCATGCACCTGCCTGGTTTCTTCTTCACCCATGCTAATCCCCTGCCCCCAAAGGCTATTCAAGAGCCATTCTCTTTCTAGAGAGACCTCCTCGCCCCTGCTCCTGAACACTTAGCATGTAAGACCCCTGCGATAGCATGACCCACTCCTCTTCCCCTGACTCTGTCTTATAAACAGCAAGTGACCGGCGAGATACTAGCTGATGCAATCATCAAAGCAAACCCAGCTATTAACAGCTCAATCTGTCATCTCTTCTGGACAGCAAACTTTTGTCTTAATAGGGAGTTTTAGGCCCTTTATCCACAGATACAGAAAACAACCCAGGGCCGATGATGATCAACAAAGGGAATAATACACGCTGGGGAGGCCTCTGCCAACATCTACCTCACAGGCAAGCCCTGTGCATCCCAAGTCCCAGGCCAGCATTCCTGGCCCGTGGAACTCACTTTCACGCTGGCTGTGGGTCAGCCCAACTCATTCAACAGATGCTAGACTCACAGTTTTATAAATTACACTTCTTCCTGGTTTCCCTCTAAATATATTTATGCTTATTCTCTTGGCAAATTGTGAGAAAGATGCTGAAATGTACAATTAAGTTCTATCTCCGCTTGACTCTATTGCAGTGTTATAAAAATTACACCCTCTGGCAACAAAATCTTAAAAGTACTATGAATAAACAGCAGTCTGAAAGCCAGACAGTAAGATGATCAGCCTTTTTCTTTTAACAGAGCACACAAGTATCGTTAGGATAACTTATTTAGCTTAATTGCCTGTGCTAGGTTGAGTAATAGCCAGAAAACATTAAGTGTGAATCCCTGGATTACATCAGTGTGACTGTATTTGGGGAAAAAAGACTGTGCAGATATGTTTCAGTGCAAAACTTTGAGATGAGATTCACCCGGATCCCCTGGGGGGCCCTACACATCCAACATGTCCTTAATAAAATAGAGACAGAGGAAAATTTTGCACAAATAAAGAGAGGAGAAGGCCATGTGAAGAAGAGCGTAGATGAGAGAGAGGCTCACAAGCCAAGGATCACTGACATCCTCCAGATGTAGGAAGAGCCAAGAGCAGAGCCCTCTCACAAGCACGGCTAATACTTCAACTGTAGATGTCTGACCACGGGAACTGTGAGAGAAATCATTTCCTGCATTAAGCCAACGTTTGTAGAAATTTGTTACAGCAGCCACAAGAAACTAACACATTCTCTAAGGGATGTAAATAAAAGACAGGAACTTTTACCTGACACAGCCCTCTAGGGTACTTCTCCAGGCCTCGTGAGCCCCTCCTTGGAGTCATGGACAACACCACTGTTACAGTTCAGATGAAAAAGTACCCGCCAAGTCAGGCATGGTGGATCACACCTGTAATCCCAGCCCTCTGGAGGCTGAGACAGGAAGATCCCAAATTCAAGACCAGCCTTGGCAAGATCCTGACTCAAAATTTTAAAGAATCTAAAAAGGGCTGGGGATATAGCTCAGCAAGAAGGCCCTAGGCTTTATATCAGTAGTAGTGCCAGGCGGGGGTAAAAGTGCACCACTTTCATTAAAGGGTCAATCCACTGATGAGGTCACCAGTGAGTGAGCTATTAGGAGCAGGATCCTGTTAGAGGAAAGAGGGCCCTTGGGCTTGCCTTTCGATGTTATATCCCGTCCTCCTGCGCTTACTCTCTTTCCGGCGTTGCCTTATTTTCTCTGCATCCTGCTGCTGTGAGGTGCGCAGCTTTCCTTCGCTATGCCCTTCTGCCACGCTGTCCTCCCTCGGAGCCAACCAGCTACGGACTGAAACCTCCTAAGCCATGAGCCAAAAATAAATCTTTCCTCCAACAACTGAAAAGTGACTAATGTGCCACCTTTTCCCTGTACTGTAATCATTTTCTAAACTAGTGCTATGCAGTACAGTCCCCTCTCTCTCCACACGTGTCCCTTTTACCTGAAGCCTTTCTGTGCTCCTTACTCCTCCCTGTCACTGCAATCACAGAGGGCTCCTGACAGTTTCTGACTGAACCCACTTTCCCCCCTGCTCCCACCAGATCATATGTGACCCGTGAGGATAAGGTCACCACTACCACCCCATCAGAGCCCCACTAACTGGGCTGAACCAGCCATGCTGGGGCTTTGAACCTACAAGATCCCTATAAGGCTCTAGTAAGCAGTGAGCAAATATCTGTGACAGCGACCCCTATGGACAGAACTGGGGGCATAGCGGCTCCTCCCAGGCCATCATGGTCACAATCCTGATTATCATAACCCTGAAAGAGTTTACTTCCACCATGCCAGGTCCAGGTGGGTTCACCTGGCCTCTTGTGGGGGAGGAGGGTTCTTATACTTCTCTACTTCTGGGCAACACAGTACACATGCTCGATAATTTTTGATGGGTTTCATCTCAACAAACTCACAACAAACCAAAAATACTGCAAGTGGAAAAGGCACTGAATTCCGTAAGCCATGGGCCAGCCTGGCTTAATGACACAATGCACTACTGCACATCAGTTGCTCTTCTTCATGGTCAACCAGCTGACTGGCAGCTGAGCTCACTGCTGCTGCCCAGTGTGGAGAGAGAAAGAACTGTACCACATGCTCGTTCAGGGAAAGATGCAAAACAACAAAGCATGATTTCTACTGAATACAGATTGCTTTTACATCACCATGAAATTCAAAACTTGTAAGTTAAAGCATCTTAGGTCAGGGGCTGTTTCCCAACAGTCTCTCAGGCCATCATGATCACAGTCCTGATTATCTTGTAACCCTGAAAGAGCTGTCTTGCTTCTCCCAATGTCTTGCTCTTCTTTCCACCCCTTAACCTCCTTTCCTACAGTTGAACAGTGAGGCTATGTGTAATCCAAGATAGGAAATGAGAAACATCCCTTCCACCAGTCCCAGCTCTGGGCCACGTTACAAAGGCCTCTGGAAGTGGCAACAATACCTAATTTGGGAAAAGGGTCTTACAGTCATGATGGGGAAACTGTCCTTCATTAACTCGCAAGCTCCCAAAGCCTTCACTAATTACCTAAAAGGAAGGTGTGGCCAAAAGCCCAGGAATGCCAGTGGTATTCCAGCCAGAAGTTGGAAAGGGTAAAGTTCAGATCTCTGGAGGGTCTCTAGAGGGAACATGGCTCTAGTGATATCTTGACTTTGGACCAGTAAAATTGATTCTGTACTTCCAGCCTCCAGACAATTAGAGAATAATTTTCTGTTGTTTTGAGCCACTGATTTTTTTTTTCTTTTCAAAGTTTTATTGATAAACATATAGCAATGAAACAGTTTCAAATCAAATCGAAAGTACAGTTTCAACAAATAATAAACTGCATATATTCTTCTTAGTGGTTAATTGCTGTACAAGATGCAGACTTGTGATCCTACTTACAAACACCATTAGAACA